TACCCCTCTTTTGGGTCTCTTCATAATTGCTTAGAGGAAGAGAATTTTTTCAATAGCAAAGGGGGTAACATGCAACACTCTGAAATCACATAGGTTGTTATAATGCTTAATAATCAAGCTGACATTTTGCCCCGACGTAAAGCCTTTAATCTTGATTATGAGATTAATTTGCATTTTGCAGAATGCTAGCGTTAAGTTTATGAGCAAGATCTCTACTATGACTTGGTAGTTGGAAGATCCTAGAAGCAGAAAATAATTAGCGGTCAGCTTGTAAATTATTTTTTTAAAAAAAATTTTCCTTATGGAGGCAATGCACTCCTCTCTACTCTCCTTTTTTTTTTTTTTATCTTTTGAACATTTATAAACGAGGTAAGGATCTATGCCTAATCCCTCGTTATTTCACGATAGTTGGGCGAATGGTTTTATAAAAAAAGACAATAAAATTAAAAACAAAATTTTAATATCATTAAGTGTTATTTGTGTGTGGATAACATTTATCACCATCAATTATCACCAACCATCTCTGTCATCACAATCATCTCCATTATTATCAAACTACTGAGAAGAAGCTCCCTTATGGGTGAAAAGGGGTTATGGAGCGTTTTATAAAGCTTGGACAATGTTATTTCTTTTAGCTAGCTTTAGATGTGAAAATACCGGATTAAAAGAATGTCGTGGTCTAGGTATGAAATGGTGAAGCGAAAAATTCAGATACTGGCTTGGACAAACATAGTTTAATACAAAATCACCAACCTCCTCTGTCTGCACCATCTAGACCATTACTAACAAATATAAATGTTTCATTTTTTAATCAAGTAACAAATTTATTTAATTGAATTCATTATTTTTCTGATATTTTATCACTTTTTTATTTGAATTGTTTATTAATTAGGTATACAAATAAATAAATTATGCACTTTAAGATATTGAAAATTAAATAGTTTTAGGGAAAAGGGTCAAATGTGCCCCTAAACTATTTAAAAAGGTCTAGATATACCCTCCGTTTAAAGTTTGGTTCACTGATGTCCTCGCCATCCAACTTTTTGTCCAAATATGTCCTTATGGGCGTTAGTTGTCATGTTGGACGTATCCAACTCATTTTTCATTTATTTAAATGCCACATGGAATTGACATGTCATTTTGACCTTACCACATAACATTTATATGGAAATGGAAAAATGTTCGAACTCATAAACACCTAATCCGACCGATAAATCAATCCCTTTTTAAATAAATTATCCGACCAATTTTCAACAATTTTGTTTAGTTTTAATTTTTTTTCGATAAATTTCGAAAATGAGTAATTGATTAATAATAAAAAAAGAAGGAAAATATGAAATAAGTATAAAAGTAGCATAAAAAATTCATAAATAATTATAGTAACCTTAAATTCAATTTAAATATTTTTTTTAAAAAAAATTATTTTTTTCGATAAATTTCGAAATGAGTAATTGATTAATAAAAAGTACGAAAAAATATAAAATTAACGGAAAAATTAAAAAATAAATACAGTAACCTTAAATTCAACAATTTTAAAAAAAATTTAATTTTAAATTTTTTTGACAAATCACAAAAATGAGTTTATTAACAAAAAAAAAATATGAAAAAATATAAAAATTATGCAAAAAATTCACAAATAAAAAATAGGAAAATATGAAAAATATAAAATAATTTTTTAAAAAAAATTATTGAATTTAAGTTTACTATATTTATTTGTGAATTTTGACGTGTATTTTTTATTTTGTTTTCATATTTTATTTTTTTATTAAAAAATTACTCATTTCCCGGATTTGCCGAAAAATATAAAAATTTTAAAAAAATTGTTGAATGAAATAATACTATATTTATTTGTGAACTTTTGGCATTAATTTATATTTTTTATTAATCAATTACTCATTTTTGAGATTTATCAAAAAATAAAAAAAATTAAAAAATTGAAATGTTAGATTTAAGGTTACTATATTTATTTGTGAATATTTGGCGTAAATTTTATATGTTTTTCATATTTTTCCTATTTTTATTAATCAAGTACTCATTTTCGGGATTTACCGCAATAATAAAAATTAAATAAAATTGTTAAAAATAGGTTTGATAGTGAATTTAAAAGGAGCTGATTTAAGTCGGATTAGGTGCTTATGAGTTTGAATATCTTTTCATTTTCATATAAATGTTATGTCAAAAGATCAAAATGACATGACAATTCCATGTGTCATTTAAAGAAATGAAAAATGAGTTGGATATGTCCAACATGACAACTAAACCCCATAAGGGCATATTTGGACCAAAAGTTGGACGGCGAGGGCATGAGTGAACCAAACTTTAAACGGAGGATATATCTATATATTTTTTAATAGTTTAGAGATATATTTGATCTTTTCCCCATAATTTTAATAAACAATTATTCGGACATATTACTCTTAATAAAAACAAAAAAAGTCCGGTCATATGTATCTCATACTCAGTTCCAAACAGTGGTTATACGTGGAGGATGTCAAATGAGATAAAAGCTGAATTTAGACAAGTCAAAATGAAACGAATTGATAAATAAGTTGGCCTAAAATGGGGAAAAAAAACAAAAGTGGGTAGTCATTACATTAGGCACAATATTCTTACTAACTTTTGATTTTATATTTAAGTATCTAAGTAAACTATTTTTGTTTTTTTATCGTAGTCTATAGCTACATATCATATATCAAACAAAAACAAATAAAAATATTTTGAGAATATTTTTATGGATAAATTTGGATGGTATATTAACCAAAATTTTAAATTGACATATATATAGATTGGCTACGATAAATTGAAATAATAAATTAATCAACTTATAAGAGCTAATTATATCCCCCTTCTCTTAATCTTTTTGAACATGTTGGCATGTTGCCTAACCTCATTACTTTGCAAAAAGAATGAACATTTTCAACTTAAAAAGATCATTTTCAGATAATCTCGAGTTTTAATAGCACTTTTTCTGCCATATGAAAAAATTGTTTTTTTTAGCTCGATATATTCCAACGTTTTACTTTTGCCGTAGGATAAATGCTTTAATTAGTTACTTGGCTAGTACCGTAATTGCCATGATTTTTTTGAAAAGTCAAATAATAATAATTTTGACTAATATTTTATGATATATTTTTTTATTATATTCATATGAAAAAAATTGTCATTACTTTTGGGATAATTTTTGAATATCTATCGAATTAAGGTAATTTAATTTAACTTTAAAAATTAATTAAATTGACTTTCGAAAATGTAACATGACAATTAAAATGGACAGAGTGGGAGCGTATATGTTTCGATATTGATACGCTCCTTCCCAAAGATGCTTTAGAAGAGACTTGTGTGCAATAACTAAGTGAATTTTCATGCCTATACATAGTAATAACTGTGATAAATGTCATGATCACTTGTTCTTTCAATGCAGATTATATTCTCGAACTAACAACCTTAGAGTTAGCGACGGAGGGTGCATAATTATCAGTTGAACAACCCACTATAAAGTTATCCTGGTTTTATATAGGTATATCACTTCACACAACTTTAAAACTGAAAAGATAACTACAATAATCAACATGTTGAAATTTACACTAGCCGTACGTGTATTTATGTTAACTGTTGTATACAGATGAGGAGATGAAGGATTTATGAGACTGAATGCAATGAACCATATATGCATGTACACTTAAGAATAAGCCCATCACTTTATGTTACTTCTATTGGATATTCACTCTCAACTTAATTAATATCTTCATCACAATCTTAAGAGTAAGGACTGAAATTGAAATATAGCGTTGGAAAGATATAATCTTTTAACATATATAGTGGAATATTTTTCACTTTGAGTCAAGCCAGTGATTTTCACCATAAGACTTCACACCGTTAATACTATCTAATATCTTATATGTAGCACTATATATATAGTCTTAGCTCCAAAATGTGGAGAGTAGTAGTTCACAGATTCGATCAAATCCAATATTTTGGATCAAACATAAGCGAAGATTGTCCAAGACCTTATAAAACAATCCTTACCATCTCATAGTTGACATGAGAACTCAATACCTCAACATATTCATGTACTAACTAAAGCGGGAATAATACAATATGGACAAAATATTAAATTAAATACAACTATAACATTCTTTTAGTATAGTTACAAAGTGAGGTATGCAGTTAATAGAATACATACACACATCTTACAAGTTGTTTCCAAAAATTTCTTAGACTCAAAGAAGACAAAAACACAACATATTATTCAACTTCAAATGAGTGCAACTCTATAACCACAACAAAAACATAAATCACAAAGTTAACTCAACCTCAAAAACTCGCTCGTAAAAAAAAAACAGGAAATAATAAATGGGGTGTGGAGGATCAGTACTAGTTAAAGTAAAAGAGCAGAAGTTGTTTGGTGGTACCTTAGTATGGAAGTGAAAGCATTAGTTGCCTCGAAAAGGAGCTAAGTTCAGAGTAGTGCACGTGTAAACCCCACTACCTAATGTTCACTTCATAGTATTAACCCTAAATATAGTATTCACTCGAAAAAACCAATCATTCAAAACCCATACCTCTCCTGCATCTTCTTACCTTTTCTTTCTTCTATTTGTTTTCTCTCAATTCAACATCCTCCATAAAGTTAATTCATCCATAACTATCTCTCCCCAGACAAAGAAAATATATACTCGTAACGTTTTAATTTATTTATCTGATTTTCATGATCTTACTCATGTACTAAAGATACATCAAATATATGTCATCATATAATATCTAAATAAATAAAAAGAAAAAATATTAGTAAAACAGATAATTTGAAACGAAAGAATATATATATATATATATATATATATATATATATATATATATATATAATGATTTAAAGAAACATCGAACCTGAACAATGGAGAGGCTTTTTGCTTCTGCAGCAAGCGAAAGATTGATTATTATCCAAGACAACTTGAGGAAAAACTTTTGTTAATTTTTTTTTTTATGCTAATACCATTCACATAAAATAAAGAAGAAAAAGAAAGATACTTTGAAATTTTACATCCTTCGCTAAATGACTAATAACCTTACAAAGTTGAGTCAGAAGAAAAGAAGGATGATGTGTACACAACCTCACAAACCCGACTAATTAACACTTAAAAAAGAAAGATGGTTAATAGAAAAGAAGTTTGTAGTAGTAGTACTACTGTACTATAATATTGGAATTTGGAAATCATGTTCCAAGATTAACAAAATGCAAATTAAAGAGAAAAAAAAAGAAGACAGCTAGTTTTGAAGTTAATTCCCAATTTTAAAATCAATAAGGAGGACGAGCTCCTGGTCCCCAATAAGCTTCAGCTGGTGGTAATTGACATGAATTTAGTAGATTTTGAGGCAATCCTTGTAGTAAATTATTAGCATTTGGATCAGTACCCATAATTTGTTGTGCTGCTGCTGCACCTTGATTAGTACTTGTTCCTAAATTTCCTCCACTTCCTTGCTGCCCCACCGGCGATTCTTCGTCTTCAAGTGGAAGTCTTTCATAGGCTGCATTCCCAAACGAAGCCGCCATTATCACCACCGGACCTGAAGCGTTCAACGGCCCAACAACGCTACCGCCAACTACTTGGCCTTGTCCTCCGGCCAAGTATATCGTCAGCCCTGATGCGGCTGGCGGTGCTGGCGGTGGTAAGTAGGAACCGGAAAGAGATAAGATTTCAAATCTCCCATGTAGAGTTACCACCGCACCCGGAGACGCGGGTTGTCTGTCAGTTAAAAAAAATTAAAAGTGAGAATTCGATAAAAAATTTGAAATAAATAAAAATGAAATTGTGAGTACCTAATTGTAACGTTTGTAACAGTTCCGCTGGCACTTAATATGCAAACACCTCGTTGTCTTCTTGTTGCGAAGTTTGATATACTTTCTTGTATATCACATCCAGTAGCGATTTCCATCACATGAGATCTCAAAGCGTTTGCGCTATCCCGAGTAATAATAATTGGTGGTTTTGGTTTGTTTTTTGAACCAGCTGGTCTTCCTCTTGGTCTTCTACCGCCATCTCCAATAGTGTTGTTTCCTTTGCTATCCATGGAACCAGATGGATCAGGATTTAAACTGAAGTTATCGTCACGATCTCGTTTTTGATTTCGATGTCCGCTTTGTTGTTCATCTTCACTCTTCTGCTGTTGCTGTATGTGATGGAACTGTGCGTGGAGATGAGGATTGTTATTCTGTAACTGAACATCTCTTGTGTGAAAAGGAGGTGGAAGAGGACGACCATGAGCTGTTAATTGATCCATCTATAACCTAGGAAATTTAGTTGTAACCTTCACCAAAGAAGAGTTGGAAAGGGAAAGTAATGAAGCTTTGACAACCCAATAAGGGATTCAGGAGAAAGAGGTGAATCAACCATACTACAATCCTTTTCTTTCCTTTTCTTGTGGTGAGGGTTTGGGGTTATCGAGTCGTCTTATTGGAAATAAGAAGAACATCTCTCAATACTCAAAGTTTCATATCTGAAGCAAGTTTTTAAGAAACTATTCTAGTTTTAGCAAAAAAAAAAAAAACGAAGTGAGAAGAGAGAAAGCTAGAGAGAATGAGTTGGATGAATTTGATACTTTTGGGTTGGGTTGGGTTATAGTTGTAGTATCATTGGGTTAAGGTTAGGTAGGGGTGTGTGAAGTTGGATGGATGATGAGTTCGGTTTTTGGTGAGACAGACAGCGTGCGTATGGGCGGTGGGAACATGGGGCCCACCTCTCTCCAGCTTTCTCTCTCCTTTGTCTCTAAAATTTTTTGGATGGCTGGGGGGACTGACTTCTTTCATCAAATCTCTAATAAAACAACCATGATGTAAAATGGCTTTTTACCTCTCACTTTTGCATGACCATTGTCGACATAATTATTCCTAAATTTTGAAATTAATTTATTATCTACTATAATTTTCAAATCAACATGAGTAATTAATTACAAATCTTATTACTTTAAACTGAGTTTGACTTATTAAAAAACCGTTTCACTATTCATAATAAACATAGATAAGCTTACACAAACATCATCATATTGAATTGTGATTATTGTAAATATGATGGTTCAGAGTTCGAGTAATTATAATGGGTAGGGAGGAGTGGTTGAGAAGCGTTACAAAAAAATTGGACCCGGAATTCACGTAGAGAGTAAGTGCCATAGCGAGCTTAAGGAAGAGAAAGGAGAATCAAATCACGTCACGTATTCCTTCTCCGTTTCATTTTATTTGAGTTTTGTAATTGAAAAATATATTTTAATCTTTTTAGCCAATTTTAACATATTAAAATACCTTTTTTTAAATTTTTTTAATATTATATAAAATAAATTTAAATTTCAATAATCAAATGAACGGAGGCCAAACAATATAAAATGAATTTTTACTGGAGTGTTCTTGGTGATAAAGAGAGCAAGGACAAACAGAAGAGAGTGTGCGTGTGTATGTATTTGGCTGCTCCCCCAGAAGACACGGTCTGATCATCTTGGGTGGCTTTATTGTTTTTGGGAATATGAGTATTGCCTCTTTTTCCCTCATCAATTCCCACCATTTTTTTCATTTTATTTTATGTCTATATATCTAAATATTTTTTTACATAATTAATATTTATGTCAAATCAATTTTTACTTCACTATCTCTTTTATTTAACATTTTTTTTTAAAGAAAATAACGTCTTTCATTCTAGCTACATCAATATTGTTAAAAAACAAATGGAATTTTTCTTTTTAGTGAGGTAGGTATAAATTGACCTAAATATTATAATTATAAAAAATGATCAAGTAGAAAGTAACCGCAACATAGTATCTTAAGTTATGTTCTATTTTACTAGTTGAAAAAAATGCTTCTTTACGAAATGAATGCATAAAAAAAATGTTAATCCTTTAAAAGAAATTTTAAACAAAGAGGAATTTTAATATCTGCAGTCAATACTCATATAACTAGGGTCTAGGAGTAAAGTGAGTAATTAATGCATCTGTCGAAAGTTATAATGTCGAAAAATGCACTATGCACTAATCATTTACCGTCTGTTAAAATGGACCCTTTTGCTTACAACATTTACTTACTTAGAAAAAGAGTTTTTTGGTAAAAATTATTTTTACATCATACCTTAAATTTAAATTATATCTTTAAATATTATTTTTAATTAAAAATATTTTCTAAGTATTTAAAGTAAATAAGTGTATTCTTCTATTTTAATTTATCTAGAAAATTGACAAATCCCACAAAAATCAAGTCATTTCTTTCTAATTATTATTTTTAGATACGTCAAAAATATCAGCATTAACTTTTTCGGCAATTGAGTTTAGAATCATGCAAAATCTTTTAATTTGATAATTTCTTCATTTATTTTTCTTGTATTTTTTCGATCATATTGTTGAGTATGAAAATAAAATTAATCTCATATTAATGCTCAAAACATACAGACTTAAACTCAAACTGAATAATATTACACCATATTAAGAGTATAGTAATTTAACAACAACCACAAACAAGAACGATATAATATAAAGATAATTATGATTGATTACTCACACATACACAATTAGATTAAAAGGTTCGTAAAACTATTACTACTCCTATATGATTTGCTGTCATTCTATAGTTTATTAGCTCCCTTCAAAATTAGAACTTTTATCCATTACTAATAACTTAAAACTTTTTTATTGTATTGATATTTTCCTAACTTACTAATGATCCTTGCGTACGGTCATTTTAAAATAGTGTCACCTTAGTTTATCACTTACTTCAAAGATTTTTGTTTATATAAAGTTGGTAGAAATGAATAATATAGTAGTACTAGTCATGTGGCAAGTAAGCAAAGCAGTATATATAGTCACAAGTGGAATGATGAGAGTGTAAAATTTCGGCCTTCTAGTGACAGGGTCAGGGAGTGGGGATATTTTCAATGCAAAAAAGAGTTTGAGGTGAGAAATTAATTCAATTGGTCAAAGGGAATTAGTGAGAAAGAGTTGATGGGATGCTATTGGAAATAGGAATTTAAACCAAAAAGAGTGGGTTGCACTGACAATTTCTAAGTCTTTTGCCACCACCCTGCTCCTCTACTCTCCCCACTTATGAGTTATGCCTAAAGCAATTTTGTTCCAACATACACAAATTAAACAGGTTTATCATCATTTTACGATAATTGTTATGTTTTTTTTAAAAATAGAGTTTAAAAAATGAGCGAATTATGATCAATTTAACATACGAGTATGTAGATCAGAATAAAAAAACTATGAATCTGGTGGTCATTCAATCGTAGATTAGATTAGTTCTTGCTAGGCTGAAATTACACTAATAATGTTAGATTTAAGATGTTGTTGAGCCATAACTAGGGACTTTATAAAGTTGATGTTTTTACATTAGACTATTTAATTTAACAAATTCAAATGTCACCTCATATATACTATCAACGAAATTTAACTTGTGATAGGTCAATTGCAATTTTTATCAGATGATCAATTGAAATTGTTAAGTGATTTTATAATATGAATACTTTTAAATTTAGAACTTGAGCTAATATATAACTTCTTTTTAGAAAAAAGTCTCTAACACAATAGTTATATGTTCAAGTCAATAAAAAAAATTGAAAATAAGAAGTTAAATTTAAATAACTTTTAGGTTAAAAAAATATAAAGTAAAAGGGAAATTTTTTGTTTTTAGCTTATTTTAAATTATTTTAAGTTATTTCTAACCTTTTCGAACTCTTTCAAACTTATTTTAAGTCATCTTTTACCTATTTTAAATTATTTTTATATTTGTCAAACATTTTTAAAAGTCTAAAGCTGACTTAAAAGTATATGTGAATAATTTTTAACACAATCCAAATATCCTTTTAGTGTTGATTTGTATTTTAATATTAAAATAGTGAAGTGTATAAATATAAATGGACATAAAGTGTATTATTATTATTATTATTATTACTATTATTATTATTATTATTATTATTTATGTAATCTGTATGACGTGTTAATTATTAATCTCCTATTAAATATCTCACTACAAGTACCTTAAAATATTCTCGTTTTGAGTAAATAAGAAGGATGAAAAGTATTATGTTGTGAATTAAAAAAATTATCGATTGTAATTTAAGGTTGATGCAGGAAACGAGAGAGCTAGAAAAAGAAAAATATTATTTTAAGTTTCAACTTATATATTTACTATAAAACAGAATAATTTTATTTTGAAGGAACGTATTTTTTATCGGTAGAATTATGGACTTTTCAATTAATTTGGAATTGTGTAAGTCATACAATATTATCGGACTATTATATTTTTGAGAGGACACTCTGAGTTATGCTATTGAATCGATAAAAAATGAAGGAAATTTATACAAATATATTATATTAAGAAAATATTTATTATTTATAGTAATAATATTTTTTTTCACTTGATCACTTTTAATATAGTTTTAATACATATTACAAAAAACAATTTATTATTCATACATAATACAAGTATTATTGATGATTAATATATTTATCACATATTTTGATAAACTTATAATACAATATGTCAATTTCTTACAAAATAAACATAATATATTTTAAAAAACAGTTATATTACATATTTATTGCATATATAATTCACTTTCAATATATATTGCAGATTTAACATAGTATTGATATAAATGGTGTAAATAAAAAAAATATTGCTAAAATCAGTGATTATTTATTAAAATTATAATTCCAAGTAATTTTTCCAAAAATATATTACTCTTCTTTACAAAAAAAACGTATGAGATATTCACATTTAATTTATAATTTTTTTTATTGTTTCATATATTTTATTTTTCAAACTTATATTTTTTTCTTAATGCCTCATATATTTTATTTTCTAACGGGATAATGCACAAGTACCCCTCAACCTATGCCCGAAATACCAGAGACACACTTATACTATACTAAGGTCCTATTACCCTCCTGAACTTATTTTATAAATAATTTTCTACCCCTTTTTAGCCTACGTGACACTGGTTTGAAAAAAAAGTCAACCAGCGTTGGGCCCACAAGATAGTGCCACGTAGGCCAAAAAGGGGTAAAAAATTATTAATAAAATAAGTTCAGGAGGGTAATTAGACCTTAGTATAGTATAAGTGTGTCTTTGAGATTTCGGGCATAGGTTGAGGGGTATTGGACATTATCCCTTTTCTAACTGTAATTTATAATATTTTCACCGATATAATATATATAATACTACTCCATATTGGCTTCATTCTGACTGATTTTTGGTTTTTCAGTGATTATTACCCCTCCCTCCACAAACAAACTCGTGCACTTCCACTTTCTGTTCATATATATTATTTTTCTACTTTTTAATCCCAGCACGCATTGCATCACTTTACAACTTATCAATATTTATTAATAATCATGCATAAAAAGTAAGTATTGGACTATTACCTTTAATCTTTTTTTTAAAAAAAAAATAAGCAATTTATGGCGATCTTTTTTTAATTTTTTCTTTAAAAAATTAAAGTAACAGAATAAACAAATCCGACGAAGTAGATTTGAGATAAGACTTAACACGGGTAAATCCAACCTACATTACATCTCGCGTCTAAATTTACGTGACATTTTGCAGATTTCAAGATTTAAACAAGTCTGCTTTTTATATGTCTTTTAAATATTTTGAATTCTTCGTTATTTTGAGTTATAGTATTTTTTATATAGTTTACAAATATAAAAGTTAATTTTCTTTTAAAAAAAAATAAAGATTGAATAAGCTAATTATCAATCAAAATTAAATTATTTAACT